AATGAAACAAAGAACGCTGCTCGACAGAAAAATGGGCTTTACCGCAACAAATTTGGCAGGCTGCCTTTGAGAACTTATAGCAATTTTGTACAAATGTAAGTAGCATGTGCACCACCTCAAACAGAAAATATTTCACTTCTGGAGTATTATTCATAACTAATTGGAAACTAGGTTGCTGGAAAAGGGCAGAGTCTGCAGTGGAGGAACTACCACTCTTAAAGTCTTACCAAGAATTGTTGTGGCCAGACAAAAGGAATGGTGGTAGCTTCAATGTGGGTTTGTTTTTCACCTCACCAGTTTTTCCTTTTTAAAATGTTCCCTCCAACTGTTTGCAATGGGAGAGAAAATCATGTCACCATCAAAGGTGGCACAGTCCCTCCCTCCCTTCCATTTCAGATATGTGACTGTAATATCTGGCACATCCGAAGTCTACCCTGATCCACACTCCCATTTTGGTCTTACTGCCCTCGGAACACATAAGCAACAGAGGTAGAGCTTTTTGCTGCAGCAATGCGAAGGCCTCCAACCTCTGACAGCGAAGAGGGATGTTCACACTGTACAAAAGCCGGTCGGGTTCCTTTTCTAAGAGTTTAGGATTGGTCCAGGAGAAAATCAGTGTGTGAATTTTGCAACACGCTGAAAATACTAGCAACCCAGTTAATTAAAGTAATCCATTGGAAATATGCATCTACGAAATACATTATGTCAAACTGTAACACTCCTGCAGCTCTCAATAATGTATTTGCTATCAACACTAGCTTTTTCAGAATTTACTACAAATAGTTAATATTTGTGGGAAATTCAGAATGAATATAGGAGCCCAAGGATCAATCTAGTCCAGAATTCCATTTCCAATGATAGATGTTGTTGTTTGGTAGTTTTACTCATGGAAATGACTTAAATTGACTTATAGACAAAATTGTCAATTGGGCATGAAGGAAAAAACCCTCAACCGTTTCCCCCACTCATTCTAGCATGCAGGAGAACACTGCCCCTGAACCTGGCTGTCATATTTAGCTAGCATGGCTGATACCCACTGATAGATCAGACTTCCTTATGTTTATCTAATTTCATTTAAAAACCACCTAAACTCGTTTCATCTTGTGGAAGCAAGTTCCATAAAATAAATGCTGAACAAATTTATTATCCATTCTGAATCAACAGCCAATCATTTGTGATTACAGTGGTACCTCTGGTTACATACTTAATTCATTCTGGAGGTCCGTTCTTAACCTGAAACTGTTCTTAACCTGAAACACCACTTTAGCTAATGGGGCCTCCCACTGCTGCTGCTGTGCCGCCGCCGCACGATTTCTGTTCTCATCCTGAAGCAAAGTTCTTAACCCGAGGTACTATTTCTGGGTTAGCGGAGTCTGTAACCTGAAGCATATGTAACCCGAGGTACCACTGTAGTAGTGTCAAATCTTAATAATATGAGGAAGAATGCCCCTCCATATCGCCATAATTTTATAAGCTAAAGTAATATGCTAACCTTCAGTCATCTTTTTTCTATGCTTATAGTCTTTTCTCCATAGGGAATATACTCTAACACTTCAATCACTTTGGTTAACCTTTTCTGCACTATAGCCAGATGTACAATTTCTTTTTAAGGTGCAGAAATTAAATCAAATGTGACTGTACCATGGACTTGCATATGAGGAGTATTATATGAGGCATTTTATTTTTAAGCCCTTTTCAATTATCCTCAGCATGGAATTTATTTTCTTCAGCACTGCAGCTTAGTCACTAACTAAATGGTTTCATTGAGCTAGCCACCATGACCCCAAGAGTTATTTTCCTTGGGTGTTACCAACAATTTAAATCCTATTACCATATGTGAAGTTAGGATTCTTTTGTTCTAGTGTGCATCATGTTTCAACTGTTTACAAGGTGTTTCATTTACCATTTTGTTGCCCCAAAACCTCCGAAGCTATATGTCACATTCTACAAAAGATGTGGGTCTTCAAATTGTCCTTATTAAAAGGGAAGGAAGAGTAGTGACTTACTTATGAAACTACCATTTGAAAGTAAGTATTATGCATCCAAGTTTCTAGGTGCAACTCCCTTTAAAAAAATTGCAGTCTACCTGAACAGAAAATATAATTTTAAGTTTACACGTATACATAAAGCCTAGTTTTATGATTTTGCAACACCAACACTAACCCAAATCAACCAAAATTATCCATTAGTAAACAGTCATTTAATGGTTTTGAGGTCAATCCTGTTATAGCAACAAGAAATTCAGGATGTCAGCAAACAACAGAAACAGGAAAGTCCCATATATTAAGAGTATGGAAATAAATTGCTACAAATTATGCCTAACTCAAAATATTGAAATCAGTATCTTAACTATCACTTTAAAATTATTAGAGCATGCAAGAAATGCATTTTTAACATTTTGGGAACACAGCTAGTAAAAAAAACAACCACAAAGATGTTAGCCAGTACTGCCACCTAGGGCATACTAAAGGTAAGTACAATTTAAGGTCTATAAAATGCCAGATATAAGTGGGGAGGAGATAAGAAACTCAGCAATAATCATTAAATGTTATTAAAGGCTTTACGACCAGTGGTATTTATAAAGCAGAACACTTCCACAAAATAATTTCTGAGTCAATGCCTACTTGGGCATTAACAGTTCCAACATAAAGCAACAGAGAGGAAGGAAGAGGTGCCACACCAACTAGAACCTCCGCTTCCCAGCATCTGAATGTGCCAGGGGAGCCAACATGGGCCCCAGGTTATGGGTGCCCAGTGAGTGTGACATCACGACATCACGCGTGCCCCCCAGCCTCAGAACCTGACTTCTGGTGCTACTGGAAGTCGGGTTCCAAGGTCTCAGAAGGCCATGGACAACATCTCTGAGGTCATGCAAGGCCTCAGAGATGCTGTCTGAGGCCTTCCGAGACCTCAGAAGTTGCGTGTGGGGCCCTGCGGTCTGGGTGCTGAGCACCTACAACAATTTTTTCTGTGGGTGTTTAGACACCCTGAGCCCCCTATAGTTGGCACCCCTGGAATGTCCAGTGTGAAAGCTTGCAGGGATGGAGACTTTGTACAGGGTATGCACAAAAATGGAATACTGATTGTGCGGAGTTCCAGGTTGCATGAAAGCCTTCATGCAACCCAGGCACACACAATGGCTCCCTCCCTGTAGATATTTGTGCTATGTGTTAAGATGCCAAGGAACAGGGTTAATCAGTGTGTGCAATGTCAGGAGCATGACTACTCAGCACAGCCCCACACGTTGTTCCTGTGTGCTTATATTGGAACTATCATTGGAACTTGAATAGAGTTCAAGGCTCACCATTTTGGAAGGGATATCTAGAGAAGTGTTCCACATTTCTACAAAGCCTTACAAATAAGCCTGACAAAGCCCAGATCCTGATGCGATACCTGGGTCTGTTAATGAACTAGAAACCAGAGCCCCATACTCAGCTTGCTGCAAACCATGATCAGAAGCTTTACATTTCCTCCATTCACACAAAAGGGAATAATCAGCAAACATGGGTGTTTGTGAAACCAAGTCCGACCACAACACTACATTTATTACACCTTGTCAGAAATAATAGGAATTTCAAAGTTTCCTGGGAGTCTCAGTACTCATTTTTTAAACATCCCCTTTAGATGTAAAGATAATGTAATTAAATCTGTACTGAAGATCATAAAATGTGCCTTTTTTACTAGTAAATTTGATGGGTGCTTTCTCCTCCTTAGGAGATATACAACTATAGTTATAAGTTCTGTCAGACAGGTCAGACCCAGTTTCACTACAGGAGAAAAACTAGATAATCTTCAAGTCTTTCCAGTTTCGCATGCCTATAATAAGAACTTCCTCAAAGGCCTGGATTTATGCTACTAGAAAAAGCCATCCTACAGCAAATGAAAGTCAACTCTGTTCATTTTGCAGATATTGGGTAATATTAAATAATATTAAGACACTAGAAAGCATGGCAGCATATTCAAGCTCCTATACAATCCTGAGCTCAAATGTATCATTACCTGTAATTCTGTATCCATATGCAGCCAGTTGTCCAGCCATGTATTCTCCATCTGAACTATTATGAGAACATCCCCATGTGCGTATCCAAATTTTCTGTACACCAGGAATGACACTGTCAAAGAAAAAGGCAAGGAGAATAGGTAAGTGCATTAATTTCATTTCATCCACATCAGAAAACAAAGCTTTGGCCATTATAAAATACTACCACTTAGGATCTGTATAAGGCTATGATGACCAGTGCTCACAATATCCTTTGGCAAAGAAATTACTGTAAATGTATGATTTACTGAATGTTTGTGTGCACTGCACCAAGTGAAAATATTAAGCATAGGCTTTTGATCCAATAGTGGCAAAATGATAAGCATGGGAAAGAAGATGGAGAAAGATCTTATTCCTGAAATGCTTGAGAAAAAAGGTAAATCATAAAATGTTAACAGAAGAAGCTATCCAGATTAAGGTAGGAGCACAGCTAAAGGGATACAAAGATATTGTTACAAGTACTGCTCCCACCCTTCTATATGAAATCCCAAGACTCAATAACAGACTCAACAGGCAAAGCAATGCTACAGTCACATTTCTTCCAAAGGTAGAAAGCATCAGATCCACTGTAGTAATGGCTGTGGAGTGTTTGCAACATCCTTCCACTGAAGTCACTGGGAGATTAAGTTGTTCCAGACCCTCTTCTGCTGTGAATACGTTCATGCAATCAGGGGGGTTAGAAATCATCACAAACACTCTCTTCCCCTGTGCTGCTCCATTTTCAGGCAGAACTCTGCTGGTGGAGCAGTCAGCCAGCAGAGCTTTTCTGCAGTACCCAACGGCATTTCTGCAGGTGTGTTTTCATTCGGTGCTTTCTGTCTCATCATAGGACCCCCTAAACTCATGAACAAGTAACATGGGATTGTACAGGTCATAATATTTTTTTATGCAATTTAGAATAAGCATTAAAACACATCACAGCTGAAACAATAAATAGTAGCAACTACATGTTGGAGGAGTGCACCTTTGGGGGTGAAGTCAAACCACCAACCTTCTGGTTAACAGCCAGACACACTGACCCACTGCGCCACAGGAGGGCTCATGCTCTTTGTAAGAGGGTACCTCACCACCATTTAGTGTAAGGTCCCTATCTACACAAGAACATTAACAAAAGCCCAACTGGATCAGTCGTAGTCTGGCATCCTGTTCTCACAGTGGCTAACATGAAGACTATGAGAAGTCTGCAACAAGGGAAGTATAATGGGCTACTTGTTTAGCTTTATACTCATAGACCCATTTTTCTCACTTACAAAGGACAAATGTCCTGTTACTTGAAATGCATGAGGTTAGAAAGAGAACTCACTATATTAAAACAGAATTAACCTAATACACACTGTAGTCTGTGTAGTAAAATATTTCAAGTTATTAATATGTTCAACAAGACTAAGACCTAAAGTTTTCAGGTTATTTCAAGTGTAAATCATTCAATCAGTACAAGTGCTGGTGTTTTCTATCGCTCCACATTGTTGTTGTTTAGTCGTTTAGTCATGTCCGACTCTTCGTGACCCCATGGACCAGAGCACGCCAGGCACTCCTGTCTTCCACTGCCTCCCTCAGTTTGGTCAAACTCATGCTGGTAGCTTCGAGAACACTGTCCAACCATCTCGTCCTCTGTCGTCCCCTTCTCCTTGTGCCCTCCATCTTTCCCAACATCAGGGTCTTTTCCAGGGAGTCTTCTCTTCTCATGAGGTGGCCAAAGTATTGGAGCCTCAGCTTCATGATCTGTCCTTCCAGTGAGCACTCAGGGCTGATTTCCTTCAGAATGGATGTGTTTGATCTTTTTGCAGTCCATGGGACTCTCAAGAGTCTCCTCCAGCACCATAATTCAAAAGCATCAATTGTGTACATTAGTTATGCAACGAAAACCATCTCTCCACATAGGACTGGCAAAAAAACAAACATACCTGTCACTTGGGGGATCATCATAATCTGTTTCTACATTTTTTTGTGAATGGCGTTTTCGCACTTTAGGAATAACATTTTTTCTCCTGAACTGCAGGTCTTGCGGCTTTGGGTCTTGTTCTGAGATGATATCTTCAATGTCTCCAAGGAGGGAATCACAGACAGCAGGCATTTTCTATGAAGATTTAAGTACACAGTGTTAAGATCAAGAACTGAAAAAACATACATACTATTCTACACAGCAAACATTAAAATCAATTCCTCATGTCTTTTTAATAATACAGCAACACTAGACTAATTTATTTATAAAACTGTTAACCCAATATTCATTAAAATACTTAAATGCCGTTAGAGACCATACAGATAGAAAAAAATGGCCCAATAATTAATAATGCATTTTAAACAGCAGCACTGAATCAAGCTGGGCATCTGAGTTTTAAATAAGAGTCAATGTGACTGATATTTCCATATATGTTGATGAAAGCTTATCTAATGGGTTGCCAACACTGCATCCACAGGCACACATGTGCCAACAGATGCCTTCTCTATTGCTCATAGGGTCCACTCCCTGCCCCAGCCAAAATTAAGTTTGAAAGAAACATTCTACTTTAGTCAAGTAGGTTGTGAAGCATGTTTAGTTGTGATGTGTGCGTGTGATGCCCTTGACCACTTTTCTGGGTTACAAACTTGCCCTTTGGCCCAAAATGACTGGCGACACCTGGCTTATCTAATGCCAGAAATAAGGGTACCTGCCAGCATTATAACCAGTACATGCTTTAAGTAATATCGTAATTCACTATACAAGACAGTTCAGCAATTGCCTACACACATTCCATATGCCTTTTATCAGTTTGTAACAATGGATAATACCAGATTAGCTAAATATTTTGCCTGGAATATTAGGCCCTTTGAAATTTATCTAGTTCTGGGTCTTCAGTACACACATCCCTAGTTAGATGAAGTACTGAGCTCACAAACAGGTGCTACACATGTGGTTCCCATTCTACTCAGTGTCTATATAAACACAACTGAGTCTGAAATTTGCTGATAATGCTAATTAGCATCTCAGAAGATGTAACAGATATTTATGCTTGGTATGATGGCCCATTATCTTAAAGAACTAAGCACCCAGTAAAAACAGATGAATGCATCTTGTTCATCTGGGCCCTAGCTGTAAACCCACTATAGTTCTTAGCAATTTAAACTATAACCCAGCAACACTAAATAGCTTATTGTAACAACACTGTACCTTAACTTACTATTTTATCTTTGGAGTTCCAGCATTTTTTTATCCTGAAAAAAATCAAAACGTTTTCAATCATAATTATACTTTCTATAAATCACCAAGGCTGATACTTAATAAGTGATTCAAAATGCCTAAGTCATGGTTCCATCCAATGATATTTCATACATGTATACACAGATGCAACAGATTCTACTTTGAGGAAAACTGGGAATGAGCCTTGGGACTGCATATTCCTTCCACCATTTTCCTTAGTTTGGGGGAAAATGAATGAAAGAACTAGTGGAAGATCTTGCCTTTCTGCGTCTCATTTCCTCCATGCTGGTATTCCTTCCTAATGCCATCCAACCAGTAGATACAGGAATACACTGTTGTCTTATGTACTTCAACCAAGAATGAATGAATAAATTAAGAGCATTTTGAAATTCTAAATAGTGTATTATAACATGGTTTTCCCCCCTGAGGTTTGGATTCATGTAAGTGTGAGTGTGTGTCGGTGTGTGTTCATTTTCATCTTCAGCTTGTAATTTAATAATAATAAACGAAACATATTTCTTAAGAAGCCTAACTGCTAACTTGCGTATGTAAGTTCAAGGCCTTTCTACTGGCTGATACGGATATGAATATGATGGAAACTCGTTTTTCAAAACCTTTTTTTTAGAAATGTAAACCTTTCCATGGGGGGGGGGGGGAGAGAGACTCACAGCATCTTGTCGCGGAAAACCTTACATCCTTCAACACTGCTGGATGCTTCCCTCGCTAGAAAACAGCCCGCTTCGCACACCAGCTGCGTCCTCGGTTTTCCTAGGGGCCACAAAAGGCACCCTGGATCAGACACGCAACTCTTTCTCTCTCTCTCCTCCTGTCGTATTCACACGTTTGTGGCTCGAACCCCAACAGCCGAAGTTGAAAACTCTACGGCGGACCCCTCAGTCCCGGCGAAAGCCCTCAGCCGCCTTCTTTCCCTGGGCAAAGCTGCGAAGAGGTTGTACCGAAAGAACCGCGGGTGGGGTCGCAACCCCGAGAGGTGGCTCCCGTGAAGGACATTCGCGGCTGGGGGAGAAGAGGGAGGTGGGCCGCGCTGCCGGGAAGAGAAACGGCTCGCGTCTGAAGGCGACGCGTGAAAGCTGAGAGGGAGAAGCTAGAGGAGAAGGGGCCATATGGGCCCATTCTGACCGCCGCGCCCCCACTGTACGCTGCGGGCCGCTTTCACGGCGGGAAGCCGTTACTTAGCCCGCTCGCCCACCCCACCCGTTGACCGGCGGCAGCAGCAGCAACAACAACAACGAAAAGTTCACCTGCGGAACCTGACGCGCTTCTCGCCTCACATGGACGACGCCATGATGGAACGCCGCCCCTCTACGCAGCTAAACGGGAAGGAGGGGAGGGAAGAGAGACGGCCTTTCGGCGGCGTCCGAAAAAGGACAAATTTAGGCCGTCGGCAGCTTCGCGCAACGGAGAGAAGGGAGGACCTGGGAGATTCCCCCAAGTGGTGTGATTGGCTCCCGAAATAGAATCGCGGTCTGATTGGACAGGGAGAGCCAAGAAGGGTCCCGCCTTTCCCGTCACAAATTCTGGAGCAGCTTGAAGGTTAAATTCATCCCTTGCCTGGGTGGGTGCTGTTGTCCGTAGGAGTACGTGTCGCTGTCCCGTCCCTATCTCTCTCTCTCTCTCTCTCTCTCTCTCTCTCTCTCTCTCTCACACACACACACACACACACCACACACACACACACGTCTACTGAAGCATGCCTTTAAATAAGTAATTTAAATAGTAATTTAAAGGAACAGGTGGGAAATCGCTAATTTAGGTTTGAAGCGGAAACCTTGCTGCGCCTGGTTTGTTGGAAGTGAGTTGCACTGAAGTAGGTGGACTTCCCTAAGGTCGGGCCGTTACCGCCCAAAAAACGCTCTACAGATATGTTGGCCAAAACATAATTAAAACTGCCATTCAACACCTAGGTTGTTTAGGACATTAGGGAGCTACATGCAATCAAACAGCAGCTAGAGCACAGGTGACACAAGTCCTGAGATGAAGACAGAAAACATGGTAGAGCACATAATTGTGCTTACTACCTACTAAAACATTATTGTTTAGAGAAGCCTAACCAGATGCTTCGAAAGTTGGGGTACTTTTAATGTTTTAGTATTTTAACTTCTGTATGGTTGTGAATTTTCCCTATCTTTTTGTAACTGCCTTGAGGGGGGTTGTTGTTTTTTACAATCACCATAGAGTGTGTAAATTTTATGAAATAAAGGCAGAGAAAGGGACCTGTTTCATTGCTTCTATTATTTTGAGAAATCTGCTACAGGACAGACAGGTCCTTTTGGACCTTTGCCTTCCACTGCTAGTTAAAGCTAGGCAGGGCTTGGTGAATGCATCTCTGCACAGAGGAGGCAACAGCCACTTGTGGGGGGAAAGCTACCCTGGATTTTATGGTATTTAACAACTAACATCCTGTTGCAAATAATCTTTTGGTCAAAGTATTTGAGAGGGTCATGGCAAAACTGCAGGCATTCCTGGATGAATCTTGATTATCTAGCCCCATTTCAATCTGTCTTCAGACCCAACTTTGGGACCGATTCTGCCTTGTTCCTCAGATTTGGGATTGAACTGAAGTCTGCAGCTGGTGCAAAACACAGCAGCTGTTGCTTGTGGGAGACAAACTACCACTAGCACATACCTTTCTTTTAAGTTTTGCACTGGCTGCCAATCTTCTAGGATGTTGTACTAGCATAAGGCCCTAAACTACCTGGAAAAGCCCCTGATCCCTAGTTTGCAGGACTCCAAAAATCGTAGGAGCCACAGTAGCTCAAGAGCAGGGTTTTTAAGGGTGGGCGGCTGCCTGTTCTGTGAAATAGAATGACTGAAGACACTTTTGCTTCAATACTTTCCTGGCTGGATAAATGGGAAATGAGTATGTATTTTGCTTTGCTGAGTTTTGTTTAAATGTATTGCTTTTTGTGTTTTTAACTGTATGTTGCTGTTTTTATTGTACAACACCTTGAGAGGATTACTGTTATTCATACCATTAAACAACCATGAGCAGCCCCAGTTTATACCCAGTCAGTTTCTCTTTCGTGTTAGGAAAGCAGGGCAGCCCAACCACTGTGCAGCTATGGTACATTTTTCTCATGGCTCTTGAAGATACCTTCCCTGGTATACAATGCTTTGCCAAAGCTATTGCTGTAGCTGGGGAGGAAATGTAACCATAATGCTGAAGAATTTATATACCGATATAAAGCTTTATTGATTACCATAAAAAAATCTGTCAGGTACATACATTTGAAGAGTCAATATCACAGCTAGAACAGGTTATCTTTATAAATGCAAAGCTGTTTGGTTGTTTTGTTTTTACATTATTTTACAGATTTGTAGAATTAGCATACTATTCAAAGGTATATTAAGGTTAGTATTTTGCTCACACATTGGGGAAGTATGTAAATTGTACAAAACAGCATACAACATTAGAGTCCCCCTTTTTTCATTCTACCCACAGAGATCCCCTTCATACCACCAAAGTGTTCATGCTCACAGCGCTTTTACTTTTTCTCCACAAGACAAACTTTAAATACTCTATTTTATTTACAGACCCACAGTAAGATTTTTCAAGAAATTACAAACCAGCTATAAAATATTCTGGCAGGTTTTACAAATTCATTCCTATTGTACAAAACTGTTAGATGACTAAAGTTTAAGAACATACAACTTAAATAATCAATGGAATAACTATGCACATGTTTGTACACAAACACACTTAACACTGTTTAACAGTTCTTAATGTGTTGCCTTTTCACACAATTATATTCCAAGGCTCACTCATACAGCTTTCATACTGTTACTCAGCCATTTAAATTGTGAGTGTTTATAGCAGCATATCAGTGGTACCAGAAAATCCGCACATATATATTTAAAACAAACATTCTACTAATTTATTAATCATCAGATAGAAAAAATACAAACTGCTAATTCATCTAAAGTGGCAACATTTTACACAACTGTGTGTAAGATGTATGAATTGTATTAGTTTCAGAACACATACCCTAAACCAGCAAAGTGTTATAAATTAAAATTCACTACAGAGAGTACTGACAGGTATGTTATTTACACTTTGGGTGAAATGTCAGCTTTGTATCAACTCCCAAAATTGGAAGCAGAGGCAACTAATCCACTAAAATAAACACAGTGTTCTGAATAAGTGAAGCTTGGCATAAATAGTATCCCTTAAGCCCACAGTGCAACTCTAGTAGGCACTTAACACAAAGCCCCACTTCGTACCACAAAATGTTTACGTACCAGTTCTATTGCACACTGCAGACCATGAAACTTAACGTGTGTGTTTTTATTTCATATTTAACAAGTGACTTCCTCACGTATAGAATTTTTAAATTTCTAGTTCCTATGGCAAAATGGTCACCCTGATCCAGCTAAAGGTTACAGGCACGTGGAAGCAGATTTCCACACAAGTATTCCACAAAGTGGGTGGACAACTTCATAAAAATGTGTACAATTCCCAGCCTTGTCCAACACATGGGGGTGTGCGCATGTAGCTCTTTGGGGGTAGTGAAATCCCATCAACTGACTGTCCAGGAGGGAGACCAAGAAGCTGGATTCAATTTACCCTGTCCACTCTCCTCCTCTCTCTGTTAAACAGCTGGTCTACAGAACTTCAGTTTTCAAAAGGTTAGTTAGGGGTGTGACCCTGGCTGTCCCAGGTATGCTGTGTTGGACTTGGGCCACCATTAGTTTGTTTTATTTAGAACTGCAATACATTTTTATATAAAAACTCCTCCAAGATAGAGGCATGGAGAAGATTTCAAACATTCCACAAAAGCTTTGGAAGAAGTCCATCTCACATCTTTCTGTATTTTGCACTTTTTTTTGCAATTACTATGACGGAACATACAAATCAAAGACTCAAGACACACACTCTACGGAAGGCACAGTTTGAAATATAAAGGAATAATTGCTATGTCTGACTAAAACTGTTCTTCAGCCCTTCACAAAGCTTGTAGACACAAGAAAGTATAATCATTCCTCCATTTCAGATTTCATCCTTCTATACTTTGCTAAAACCAGTAGCTACCAGAACATGGGATTAAGGTAACTCTGATGAGAAAGTCTGCAGTTCTGTGTTTGCACTATTCTAGAATTATTTTTTCCCAAATATCAAGCATTCCAAATTATGATATTGAAATGGGACAAGGATTAAGAGGTAAGAGAACAGAGAACATGGAATGACAGCAGGTACTCTGGTTTCATTTTAAAAATATGTGGGGGTGCAGAGAGGGGGGGGAAGAGACACAAGGGATAATCAGCTGCATAAAAATTCATCTACCAATGCTGGCAATTTTTCAAAATCGTAAGAATCAAAGAGGTCACTGATACCCTCCTCTTCGCCAAGACTGATCAAATAGTCTTCATGAAGTAGAGGCGGCAGCAAGCTTACAAATGGCCCTTCAAAACCTGATGCAATTTGGTCCTCTGTCTGCTGCAGAAGGTTGGTTGGAGAGGCCAATGGGGAGATGGTTGCTGTAGTTACTGAACAGTCAAGACTTCCCGAGTTATCAGAAATCAAATCTGTTTCAAGAAATAGCATTATTTTTAAAAAACTTGTAAGAGGGTTGCACACACGATTTTACAATATTAATGCATGTCAATGTTTTCCCACTCAGCCCTTCCCTTCAACGTCTATTGTTGCTGTCTCTACACAGCTTATCTTGGTAGACAAAACAATTTTTAAAATGGGTAAGTTGCTCTGAGCAACAAGAATGCATCAGAATGATTGGGATACAAGTCTTTCCCTCCCTTTGACTGTGTTCAGAGCGGAACAGGGATGACCTTTAACACATGAGCAGGGATGCACTTGTTTAGGCCAAAATTGTGATCTCTGGGGGGTGGGAATATTTCCTGGTGGTTGCTTCTATCAGGTGCAGAGTTCATCTCAAGATGCCACCGGAGAAGTCAGCACAGCTATTTAGTCTTTTGGCTATGCTAGTGTAACAAATGGATTTTTAAGGTTGTCTTTGTTCAAAGTAGTCCTACTGAAATGAATGAAACCAAGTCAGCCTTAAATTTCCACGGGTCTACTCTGAGTAGAACTACCATTGCATACAATACCAAGTCTCATGTGACCTTTTATAAAAAGAAAGACGTTTCATTTCTCAATGCTGAATGTTACACACACAGCCTTCTATCTTAGTGGCCAAGAGGTGGACCCAGAACAACCAAATAACAATTATTCTGGAGATAAATGAAAATAAAGTTATCAGAGGATGGTTGTACGTAAAGCAGCCAGGCTAAAGCTGAAAGCAAGGACAAGGCGAACGTCAACAGACACAGCTAAAGTTAACACTATCTTTTTCAACCAGCAGCTATTTGGAGTAATTACTGCAAAAAGAATGCCTTCCCAAATAGGGATGACATTTTATTGGCAAGATACACCCGGGTGATGGTGGGGAGGTCTTTAGCCCTTAACCCTCCCCCTCTTGCAACATATGGACATTATCTCCCCACACACCAGTTCTCCATCCTGCTAAGAAGAGAGGCGGGTTGGAGCAGGAGAAGCAGTCTTCTGATTGTAAATTGTGTTGTCTGCTTTTAATACTGCATGTTTACATTCTTGTAACCTGTCCTGGGAAGAGCAGGTAAGAGCAGACCCAGTAGATAGTTGCCTGACCCTTGAAGAAGCAACGGTTGCAACTTGTGGCAAATGCAAGTAGTGGCAATACCTTCCTTCCTGTCCCACCAGCCAAAAGCCACCTTCTGAGCTATGGAAAACTCATCTATCCTCTTTCCCTTTTTTGCTCTGCCTCACTTGCTCTGAGCATCACAAAAGTTTTGGAACTTGACAGGGCATGTCTCTTACAATAGACAAAAGTAGTCAGCCACCACTTTTAAGTGACAAGAGATAATTCATAAATGATATTACCTATCATGCATAAATAGACAGCTCATAGTGATAGCCTTTACATGTACATGCCTGAGTGTACATGCACAGCAGAATTAGTTTATGGTCAGTGATTTCTCACATCCACCAACCCAGACGGCAAGCTCAGGGCATGGAAGTACTTACAATCAGGGCTATATTCTGAATAAAGTATGACAATGTTGAGGGGGAAGGTACACCCCCCCCCGTAGCATTCATACTTCCTTTAGTCTAAAGAAATCTAGCATTCAGCACATCAATTATTAACTGAACAGACTGAATTACACTTTCCCTTTAATTATACTTGGTCAATACAACTTTAAAAGGCAAAATGTTACCTTTGGAAACATTCCTTGAGATATTTCCATTATGATCCTGATCTTGCGTTTTCATTGGACTGTGGTAATCTGTTTCTTCTGGACACAAGTAAACTTCAATAGGCCCCTGGGTACTAGATAAGTGTATCAGCTTATTCTGCAAAGACAAAACATCCCCATTTTCAATATGTCTTCTGCCAACAAAATGCAACAAGCGGCTACTGGAGATTTATGGTTCATTTTTATAAGGTCCAGGGTGCTAATCAAAGTCAGTTTGTGTGGAAGAGTAACATGTTTCTGCAAGGGTCTGTGCACATTTAATCATGCAGGTGAGACTGCTATTCATTTACAAATGATATAAAAATCATGCGTAAGGAACAAGTGGATGGCACATTCTCTTCCTGAACATCAACCTTTGTCTCAGGACAACTTCAAATGCAACCTCACAATCCATTTCACTCTTAATATACTAACAGTGCAAGTCTGTGCATGCCTACGCAGAAGTAAGTCCTACTAACTTCACTAGGATTTACTTCTAGGAAAGTATGTATAACGACGGTAGCCTAACCTAAGGAAAAGCCCTGCGTAGGTTGAAAGCTTACAGACCAATCGAGAATTGGTCCAGCAAAATATACTGCTAATGCTAAACAGGCCAGCAGCAGAGCATATGCCCGCAGAGGGCGCCCTCCACAGGTCACAGTTCAGGGTTAGGAGGGGGCAGGGAAGCTGCTGCCCACTCTCCTCCTGTTCCGGTCTGACCTGGCAGCAGAGTTACTGCAGCCAGGCAGGAGGTGCCTCGCAGCCCAGGAGGGTGGGCAGCAGCATGACCACTGATTCTCCAGCTCTCCGCCACCGGGTCAGAAGTGACTTGGTGGCAGAGCTGCTGCAGTGGCCGAGGATGGTGGGCAGCAGCGCTGCCGCCCACTCACCTGCTTTCCTTCCCCAGGTCAGGCCTGACCCGGGCCCCGCGAAACTGCGCCAGGCACAAGCGCCGCAGTCAAAGTGCAGCTCCTTCTGGCATGGAGTCAGGTTCCAGTGAAGGAGCCTGCTGTGGACGCCCCTGTTTGCACCCCCTCTCAATATTGGGCCCGGGAGCACGGTAACAGCAGCACCCCTCTGCTTGCTGCCCATTCCAAATTGCCCAGCTGAAGCCTTCTTAGAGGGGTATTGCAGCGGTTCTTGCAATGGTTGATTTTGAAGTGTTACAGTACTCTTTCCCCCCCTTTTGTTATAAGCCACTTTGATTCTTTTTGTGGAAAAGCAGCATACCAGTAAAATGGTGAATGAAAAATAAACGAATGTTAACGGCAGGTGGTGTGGCCTGCCCAAAATGGCCTGGTGGACCAAACTGGGAGGCTTGGCGGGCCAGAGGTTCCTCATTGCTGTCTTAGAAGGTGGAAAAGCCAATATTTTTTTTTTTTAACATCAAATTAGATTGAGAAAGAAGTGCAAGGTGGAAAGTCAGTTTAAGAAACAGCAAGGCACAAGGCACAAACACTACAATGAGTGAAATAATCAGAGGGGGTGGTAGCAGACCAACTTCTCAGGGAACAGAATGAGCAAAAAAAGATAAATGAGACAGCATTAACCAAGATCTAGTAGTCAGAAGGAAAGAGAGGCATAGAAGAATGATCTCCCAGGTTCCAGAAACCAAAAAATTAGAAGACTGCCCATTAGCATTTTTTATTGCCATATAGAAAAATGATCCCATTCAGTAAAGCTTATACATAAATATGGTATAAGACCACTGCAAACGTTACACATTGTGTAAGATTAACTTACAGAAGAAAAACCACAAGCATTTTATTCTTACCTCTATTGGGTCAGGCACTTCAAGTTTTGTTTCTGGAGGAGCTTTCACAAGTATGACAGTTTGGTCTTTAAGGCTACTTATTTCTTGAATGTCTTCGTATCTAACATAAGCTAATGTAAACTTTGTTAAAGAATTGTTCAGAAGCAGCCTTCAGTCACGTGTATCAGCACACTAAAGTAAATATTCTTACACTGTTCCCCCATCAAGGCTACCGTTAGCTGCTCTCTCCCTACTTCTAATACTAAATTTAAAAAATAAATAAGAATGAAACTGAAACAGCCCTGAAGTTGGACAAAGCGAGGAGCGATCTGTTGAGATTTCTTGGCTATACTTCACATTTTTTGATTATGAAATAATTTGTAAGGTTTTTAGAAATTACACCAACAAATCAGTCTTGTATTAACTAGAATCCAAACAGTGTTGAAGTGAGCTGCTACTGCAGAACATCAGTCGTAGTTTGAAAAATATCATTATTATAATTTATTTATTACCCACCCTTCACCCAAAGGTCCCATGGCAGGTTACACAATGAAAACAGTTTAAAACCGCTTACTTACATGTGATTTAAAATTATCAGAATAGCTATAAGTAAGCATCATGCCTGCTGCAGTATATCATTAATACCACCAATACAATCCACTACCCCTAGCCTTTAGAGAAATGTTAAGATTTCCCAAATGAGTTCAGGCTATCTGATATAAAAGGATATCTCCGATTCTCAGAATCTTCTCTTAGTAGCTTTAGGTCAAGAGAGCAGCTTTGTATCAACTCGTCCAACTTTTGCTCTTCCTGGTTGAGTTCTGCCACCTCCTTGGACAAGCCTTGACAGTGTGCCAACATGCCCCCAAAGTCCGACAGACTGCAGCCCCTACAAGACAAGTGAACAGACACTTCACAGGCATTCCTAAAGTTCCCAGGTCCAGACGAGACAAGAGTTTCTCTTAAAACTTCATGTGACTATTCAGTTCAGAAGAAGCTGAGTGCTGAAGATTTGGCAAGTCGCATTGTCTGAAAAACTAGCACATCAAAGCAAGCTGGCGAGAGGCGAGGCTTAACAAGATCTCTTTTTAAAAACATTGTTTCACTTTATTCTATACATATACAGAGGGATTTCCAGAGTCCACCCATGATTATCTCATTCCTCCTTCTGGAAGGATGGTGTGCCTTATGTGATGTGCAAAGATAACAAAACCATTTACTAATGGCATTTTGGGCATAACTTTCTTTTAGTGGCAGTGACTCTTGCTGCATGTTTGAAAACACTCTAGTTCCATTTGTTTTTGCGGTTTACTTTTAAGATTCAGTGTTTGCACATAATTATCAATAGCGAAGAGCTGCCGCGCCAGCTTGCTTTGCTCACTAACCCCACCTATCCCAATCCCACTTCCCCCACACCTGGCCAAGCCCTCCTTCCTTTACACCCAGCCCAACCCCCGAAGCTGCACACTTCCTTCACAGCACTTTACTCCCGAACCCTTTTAAAGGAGGGTGGGAGGTGTTTCAGAGAGCTGCTTGCCAATATGCTCTCTGAAGCACCTCCCACTTTCCTATAAACAGTGCAGCCCTGTGAACTGCAGCATGATTACATTCTTGCAATTTCATTATATAGTGAGAAATGGGGGGGGGGCCTCTTCCGGACCTTTGGGTAGTGGGGTGCTTCTCCACTTGGACCCAAGGCCAAGCAGGACCCCATGATAAGAGTTTCAGACTAAGAAAAAAATCGATTCTCACTTCTTAGTCCAACCATTATATTCCCTGTTTTAGAAGAATTAAGTCAAAGCACATAAGAAATGCACATGTGCTGCAAAGTATCTTTTTGCCAAGAGATCAATACCATCAAGTATCAAAATTCTCAAGTTGAATGTATGCCACCTCCATATCTGGATCAAATTTAAAGTTCATCTCATTTAATGGGAAGTACATGGCTATGAACTGGAAACTTCTGGTTCAGATTTCAACTCAGTCATGAACTCATTATGTAGCTGTCGGGCAAGCCACTCTTCCAAGCTCACCCCCAAGTATCCACCACCATATTAAAACCAAATTTCTACTGAGGCTATGCTCAAGCTTCGGAACAAGCAAACTGTTATTGGGCGGCATGGGGGAGAAGGCAACATCTTGCATTCCTACATCCCACGATGTTCCCTTGCCTTCATATGCTTCCTATGCAAGAGGAACTGATTGAGTTTCTCTCTCAACAGTACTGCTGGCGTAACCTGTGTACTTGAGCTGGGGGTGTCTAAACTCACACCTGCACCATGCATAGACATCTCATGGCTTCCCCCAAAGAATCATGGGAACCGTAGTTTGTTAAGGGTGCTAAAATGGCTCTCTGGAGGCAAATTGTATTTCCCACGATTCTTTGGGGGAAGCCATGACTGTGTGGCATAAATGTGCTTTTCATATGTATGGTATGGATGTGACCCAAATTGTCCCTGACCACAGCTCAAAATGCTTCATGTGCATTATTTAAGCAGAAGCTTAAACATGCAAAATTTGATCCCTTTCTGGACTGTAGCTCTGTATTACAAGTGTTTGTTTTTCCCCTACGCAAGTAAGTCCCCAGCCGTGGAAAGCTAGTGGATAAGGAGAGTAGAGGGCTCATTTCCCATAATATGCCAGTTTCTACACACAGAGAAGTTGCTTTTATTTTATGTTTTAAAGAAATGTGAAAATATGCCACCAACAAAATACAATATCAAGGAAAGGGCTGTGCTACACAATATTTTTAGATGTCTGAGTAAGCCATGAGAATGTAGCTGAATCACTTTGGGCACATCAGAATTCAGTTGTCTGTCTCCACTGGTAGCCAGAGGGCTCCAAGCAGCTCATAAGTAAAACATGTTGTAGGTTTGTCCACAGCACCTGACAAGCAGAGGGACGCTGCCTCTGAATAAGCCTCATTTGACCAAGTATTATGGGCAGTGGTTTGCAAGCCACCATTCCCTTTCCCAATGCATTCCATGTGATATGTGGCCTTGACCTACAGCCAATGCAAACATACACAGTCAGACCACGTCATAAGATACCTCCATGAATGGCAGGATTAAATTTCCCTGGGTGGGATTCAACTATGTTTTACTCAGAGTAGATTTAACTTAGCGGTGTTCATCGATTTCAGTAGGCCTACTCTGAGTAAAGCTTAGTGGAATAACTCTTGTTATCCTCCAGCATTCAAAATACTTTCGTGAAAATGAAATGTGAAAGTGCAAGGCCGTCCTGTAGGCAACAAGAATATAGCACTAGGATACTTACATCCACTGAATGTTGTTCTTGGATTTTTTTTTAATGAGGTGAATGCCTTCCAGGACATTGGTGATGTCATAAATCCTCCTTTTTTGTACCTTAAGGACTTCTGCTGCTTTGTTCAAATCTACGACACCGTCTGGGGACTGGCTCAGAAGCTGAACAAACTTCTTGGTGAGAAGACCCAGCGATGTATCGTATCGCGTCTTTTCTGAAGGGGATTTGGGAGCTTGAAGAAAAATTAAATTTATGATGATTATGAAGCTGGTGTTAAATCTCTATTTTAAACCTTCAGAGTAATTGGGAGTAATCGTGTGCATTGTACACGGGACCACTCAGAGCCAGTTCAACATTATACATCCACAGAGTAGCTAGGCTCGAGTACCTTTTTCCATTGCTTTTCTCGAGACATGTTAACTTTCAAGCCATATCTATTGTATAAAGAAAAGACAGTGTGAATAAACTGGAGGTAAGGTTTTGTATGTAAGAGAAAGGTAGAAAGTGCTTCATGATTTTGTGCATCACCAGCTTGAAAATAACAAGCTAACAGAAGCTTTAAAAACAGTTGCCTCGGTTAAACCACCCTCCAGTTATGACCGATACCTCTCTGTTGTGACATTCAATGTAACTCTTAACATGTTATGCATTTATTTTGAATGTGTGTATCCTGCATTGTAGCCCCAAGAGCAGCTTTAAAAAAAATCTGCATTCACATTCAAAATAATTTGCACATATAAATCAGAAGCAACATGGCAGGCACGTTTATTCAGAAGGCTCAGTCTATGATGGAGAGTTCCCTTACTTGTACTAGGCAGTTTCCAAGCAACAGTCCTACTGAAGACTTCAAAAGCAAGGGAGTGAGGCAAATGGCTAGAACTCACTCAATGCATGATGAACGTCAAGCCTTTCTTTGTTGGCAATAACCTTGATTTTCCACAATTCTAGAACATGAGGGGACAAGTAGCCCCCACTTCAGAAGATTTCCTTCCAAGTCATGGAGGGCAATTGCAAAGTCAACCCACATGCTCATTTTCATCTGCTATCCACTACCCTCACATGTTCACTTTCCACAAGCTAGAGAACACATGAAGAAGACTAATATCTAGCTCAATAGCAGTACCTGTGGCCCTCCAGATACTTTGAGATAGAATCACAGACTTGTACAGTTGGATTGGACTACAACTCCCATCAACCCTGACCACCGGCCATGCTCACTGCGGCTGATAGGGAGTATAAGCATATCTGGGGAGCCAAAGCTTCCTCACCCCTGATCCTGCATACATGGGTAGAACAAAAATGCAATGTGAGACAGGGGGTGATAATTTTAGTCAGAGCAAAACAACCATGAAGGGTACCTGAGAACATACTGAATGCATTGGCTTGATCAATGGGCAAGGAGCAGTGATTACATTCAAAATCCAGAACGGTAACATGCTGCTTTGAAGCTCTTTGCAACACATTTAACAAAAAATGTTCCTTACTTTTGGGACTATCTGGACTTCTAGTTGCAGCTCTCCCTTTCCCCTTCGGCGTTCTTAGTCCTTCAGCCAGAAACTGCTGTCCGCTTCCTCCCAGTTCCAGTCTTCGCTTTGCCTGTCAAAAGAGCAGAGTTCTCGTAAACAGCAAAATCAACCTTATAAGATGAAGTTGTGCTTTACAGGACCTAGTAAGGAGGTGAGCCAGGAAATCCATGTATCTTTCTCAACTTCTTAGGTGCCTGTAGATATTGTAGAATGCTTTTATTTTGTTGCTCCCTCTTAATGGTGTTCTGTAACATAGAAATTCACATGTGCTTCAAGTTGAAAGCCTGCATATTCCTGCATTGATTAGGGCATAGAATCATAGAACTATAGAGTTGAAAGGGACCCTGAGAATCATCTAGTCCAAACCCTGCAATGCAAGAATATGCAGACGTCTCATGCAACTGGCACATCATGAGGCTCGGATCTGAGGCCCCCCCAAAACAAAGACTGTGATCACAAAGTTTTCCCCACCTCCTCATTATGCAGCTGAAGCAAATAGTTCACTATCTCCTCCTTTCCTAGTGCCATAGCAAGACAGCTTTCACCCTTCCTATGTCCTTCAACTGTCTGCCCTGGATCACAAACAAGATTCAGCAGCTGAGTGAATAACCCACCATAGTTGCATTCTAACTGGGTTACTTAGTCTGTATCAATGATGCTTTGCTACACAACCTAAAGTTGCTTCTGCTAAACTCTTCTTCCAAATATATAACTTCCTAGTATACCACACCAGGCTTCCCCTACATGCAGATAGCTTGAAGTTCTAACGTGGCAGCTACAGATAAAGTTCTGTGGGCATCGTGACAACTGTAGGGGCTGACTTTAGCAGTATCAGTATTTCCAAATCATGCAAGTACAGTTGTTTTGCCAAGTAAAATTATCCCGTTATAGAAGAGTATCTATGTTCACCATGTCTCCATATTCACTATGTTAAAACAAGCCAAGTTTTATATGGTAGCCTCAACTCTATTCAGTCAATTCTGGGGTATGCATTTTATTTATTTCCTGCGTTTTATTATAATCGTGATTATTTTAATTTGTCAGAAAACCAAAAAAATGGCAAACATACACAATGAACACAGGTTAACTGAATGCTGTTAGCTAGAAACAAATGTTGTAAGACATTCTAGGTTTTTCATTTGACCTAGAATATCAGGCAGACTAACATTTTCACGGACCTCAGTAGCAAAGCTCACTACCACAGTGGCGACATTTGTCAAACACAACACACATGCAGACAATATCAGGTTTGGCACCATAAACTTTGTAAAATTGCCTAATGAGACTCATTGCTATTCCAATCCTTTTTTTATGGTGGTAACCATAGATGGGGTGAGAACAGCTTTGAAATACTACCAAAACATTTCAGTCATCTTACGCTTAAGTCTTTGGGGACTAAGTGTTTTCCCACAAAACCGAGCTCCAAACTTGCCACCATGTTTTGATTCACTAAAAATGAAACTTTTTGAGAAATATGGGCAAAAAAGGAGCAACAGTTCAGAGAAGAATACATGCTTTGCAAGAAAATGGAATCAAGTTCAGTTCCTTAAACATCTCTTTGAAATACTGTGGTATTTCAGGTTACATACGCTTCAGGTTACAGACTCCACTAACCCAGAAATATTACCTCAGGTTAAGAACTTTGCTTCAGGATAAGAACAGAAATCGTGCAGTGGTGGCGCAGCGGCAGTAGGAGGCCCCATTAGCTAAAGTGGTGCTTCAGGTTAAGAACAGTTTCAGGTTAAGAACAGACCTCCAGAACGAATTAAGTTCTTAACCCGAGGTAGCACTGTAATATTGACCTGTAGACCTAAGCTGGTGTCTAAGACCTTGAAAATCCATTCCTAGTGTTGGGTAAGATTTGATATAAAGACAGCTCTTTATATCTTAACATACTTCTGTGGTCACCATATTAATCTGATGCCATCCCTTTAGTCGTCTGTCTTTGTGGGCTATATTAACACTTCTACTGCAAAGCCCTAACATTTGACTTAACTGAAGGCCTCCATTCTAACAGAAAACATGTTCAAGTAGGAAATTTCCAAAGAACCACCACGAAAGTTAAGCTTACTTATAAAGTATGTAATATGAAATACAGTTCATGTTAGGTTAGTTCAGAGATAGGTCCCCCACTAGTTAATTTGACACTCAACACACCTTTCCATCACACACGCATTTATATATTGGCATGAGCACCGCCATTAAAATGAGAGCATTTAGAAAAGGGTTTGAAATCTGCAACTCCCCAGATGTGTATGGACTACAGCTCCCCCACCATCCCTAACCACTGGCCATGCCAGTTGGGATCAATGGGAGTTGTAGTCCAATTAACATCTGATGAGCCACAGTTCCCACCCCTGCTTTAAATATCTCGAAGCAAGGGCTGTGAGAATGACTGGCCTACTACTGCAGAATTTAAGGAAATCCACACCCCATTCTAAAGATGCACACTTCATATTTATTGACACAGTCCATTTTGGTTTCAGGTATGTATACAACAGTACAGCTGACTCTTAGGGGTTGTTTCCACAACTGTGTAATTTTGTCTCCTTTGAAGTGCACCAATCTTCAGCTGCTTACAGAAGAAGCCGTAAAACTTTTGAGCTGGCTGTTAGATTTGGATTTATATGATGGGGTAGGCATTGGAAGATTGAAAGGGTTTCAGCTTTGTTATGTGGGCTTCTTTTTCTGGTAGTTATTGGACACAGAATTTAAAAGTAAACCATGGATCTGCTGAAACCTGCCTCAAGATATGTGTTTGTGTGAGCAGGGGGAGGGGGGGATTTAATAATAACTCAAACAGCACCTTCAGCTGCAAATTGAAAATGCAAATATGCAAGTCTTGAACATAGCAGTCACAATCTCAGCAGCCACTTATTTCCTGAAAGATCTTGGTCTGCAACAATTCAGATGTTGAAAACTACAAGAATTACATTGAGGTGAGCACGTACCTAGAGATATCCATGCCTTCTACAATGGCCAACACCCTCCACCCATTAACAAACTACAGAATTCAAGCCAATATATATTTCACACAAATTAAATATATGATATGGGACATGGGTGGCGCTGTGGTCTAAGCCACAGAGCCTAGGGCTTGCCAATCAGAAGGTTGGCAGTTCAAATCCCCGTGACGGGGTGAGCTCTCGTTGCTCGGTCCCTGCTCTGCCAACCCAGCACGTCAAAGTGCAAGTAGATAAATAGGAACCGCTCCAGCGGGAAGGTAAACGGTGTTTCCGTGCGCTGCTCTGGATCGCCAGAAGCAGCTTAGTCATGCTGGCCACATAACCCGGAAGCTGTACGCCGGCTCCCTCGGCCAATAAAGCGAGATGAGACCCGCAACCCCAGAGTCGGTCACGACTGGACCTAATGGTCAGGGGTCCCTTTACCTTTACCTTTAAATATATGATGTACTTTAAAAGGTGCTGTGTTTTCATCAGTTAACAATAACCACAGTTGGGATGATACATGTTGTGGTTGAACAGCAACATAATCAAAAGCACCCAAGTGTCTCCTTGGTTGAAAAGAAGTCCCCAAGGCCAGCTGAGGCTTGTTCTAGTCACACTAAACTATAGTTTGGCAGATATCTGAAGGTGGCCAGTGAGCTATTTGGATCCTGGTCTTACAGTTAACCTGTAAACATATAAATAAGGGTATTAAGCCTGTTGACTTTTCTACTTCAGTCATTACAAGCTAACCTGGAGTTTGCAAAAGACAGCTGGATGCTGACATCTTCCATAAGGTGGCAACCCAAAAAAACAACCTGAAATGGCTTCTGAAATAACCTGAAATGGCTTCTGAAATATCACAGAAACCATTTTAAGTACAGAATGGTTACCAGTGACTTCCAAGAACATGTAACCTTACCTTTGCAGCTGCACTAGCATGACTCATCTGGAAACCCTCATTCTAAATTGCAAGTTTCACAGTTTTATGTCATAATCTCATGCCCATCTACTGAGAAATAAGTTTGCATAGGATTGCAGGCTTAGGCACTTTCTGTAAATCAAGTTATTTGAAAAACACAGAACTCCATCTATGTTTTTCAGCCACCAACATAATTCATGAATAAAACGTAGTTAACAGTGTTTCCTTGAAGCTTTAGTTCCCCTTATCATAAATTGCATACCAGCAAAGGGGAGGGTTAAATTATGGGGAGGAAAAATAGCAAGGCGATGGGAGTTTGGTTTTATTTAAGTGTGAGCTGTTGGTTTCCATTGATTTCTCAGCAGCTTTTGGCACCATTGACCATGGTGCCCTTCTGGAGCAGGAAACCATGGTTAATGACTTTTTGACAAGCCTGGGTATGAAGCCAACTTCACAGCATTGCTCCATATCCTGTATTGTTCTGAAGCTTTTAACCATAGTTTCTGGGTCTGAACTAAATGGGAAACCAGAGTTAATGGGAGATTTTGCTTCTGTGTGCTGTCTAGATTAAAAAAGGGAATTATACATAGACACGCCTTTGCAACTACCAGTAATTCAGCATGCATGTATTTTGTATTTGGGAGTCCACTTAGAGTGCAAAACCTAACATGAGAAGCAGACATAGGCTAAATATGTTTATAATGGAGTACCCCTTTTGCAAATGACAAGTTATTTCCATATAAAGCAATCAAAGCAGAATATTCCTTTCCAGAAACACGAATATTCCTAAACTCCTGATTTCATCACTTTCCCCCAAACATTTAAGAGCATAGCTTGAATGATTGGCTTACATGAGAACTGCTCCAATACTAATAAGCACAAATGTTTAAAATTATGGTCTCATGCTTTCAATAAACCTTTTAAAAGAATGTTAAGTAGAGCCCTGCTAGATCAGGTCAGTGGACCTGATCCAGTCCAGCATCCTGTTCTCACAGTGGTCAGCCAAACTGGACCTGAGCACAATAGCACTTTGGCCACTTGTGGTGCCCAGCAGCTGCCTCCGACAGCCGAGGTAGAACATAGCAATCCAGGTGTGGAGTTGCTGAATGTGGAGAATATTTCAGAAACAAGAACTTTACTGCAACCCTCCCCTCAGCAATAATCTCCAAAGTACTATCCTTATAATGGCTTTACAGTTGAAGAGCATGTGGGTTTTTTTTAAATGCCGAAGTCCTTTGCAAAAGCAGCCTTCATTTTAAAGGTGTAAGATTGTGCTTTGAGACACTCCTAAATATTTCAAAGAGCAGATCATATAAACAGCATTTAAACAGAAAAAGAGAGATTACTTTTGCCGATCAGGTGGGAAAAGGTGATTTTTTAAAAGTCAGGCTTCCTCAACCTCAGCCCTCCAGATGTTTTGAGACTACAATTCCCATCATCCCTCACCACTGGTCCTGCTAGCTAGGGATCATGGGAGTTGTAGGTCAAAAACATCTGGAGGACCGAGGTTGAGGAAGCCTGTTTTAAGTGATTCACCAAAAGCTTCATTTTTGCTGCTGCAGACAGCTATATTCTAAAAGAATGAAAAACTCTGTGTGTGTGTGTGTGTGTTTTAAACTCTCCTGAAATGCAGGTGGGTAGAATAGCTCTATGACATGCAAACCCCTACCCGAGAAAAATTCATCTTTTTTTTTGAAAGATTGTATTAAATGTTCAGGTACGAAGATATTGAAAATGATCAATTTGTATGCTGCTTCTATCCCTCTCACAATCCAAAATTACTAATGGATTCACTGCCATTCCTTGGTGAATTGCTTATCTTTTAAACAGACTCTCATTGGCTGCTCTTTTTCACCATCATTTCACTTGTATATCCAGTTTCCTAGAAATCCAGACACATTTTAGAGGTAGAGGGAGATATGCATTTCCATCTGGAAACAAACCCAGTGTGTCACTTCAGACATGCACTAAGCCACACTCCCTGTAACTAACGTCAATGGGCCACAGGACTCAGGAGTTTGTTTCTGTTAAAAGCAATTAGCTGCCTTAAAAAAGATTGGAATACTTACCATCCTGCAGATGAAGGGTAGTCAATGCAGTGCCTTCCAGATGTTGTCAAACTCCAAATCAATTATCCCCTGTCCTCGTAGGCAATCATTAGTTGATGGGAGTTATAGTTCAGCAACATCTGGATGGCACCCTGTCAGCTAGCCCTGCTGTAGATGGTATCTGAATCATAGAATCACCTTATCAGGACCAAAAGGAGAGCCCTAATTTAAAGTAAAGCAATCAAAGCACTAATTATCTCAGTGTCCAATTCCCCAAATCAGTTCAAACCTACTTCACTTTAAGACGCTACTTAAGAAATACGAATGGTCTAGTCTTAAGGAAAATTTAATTCAAATGAAGCACCACTGATTTTACTTTTTGTCAACATGAGCAGGATAAGACAGCAAGCTGCACAGGCAGTGTACCCCAATACACAAGTTCATCCCCCCACTGAGTAGTGAACAGTGCAATCCTATGCCTGTCGACTCAGACAGGGCTTACACCCAGACAAGTGTGTACAGGACTTCAGTCTAACAAGTCCCATCAATTTAAACGAGGCACAACTAGCTTTCTCTGAACTGGGCCCAGTATTTTATAACTGCTTCTCTCAACTTAACCCTTGTTTGATTTCTTGTCCATTTTAGAGCAAATGTACCACTTTAGAGCAAATGCACCTTCCATCACTATCAGAATTTTATTTCTATTTCTTTGAATAGATTATGTCTCATCCCCATCTTACCCAGATACCTTGCTTGGGTTGTTTTTCTGAAACAGGCTACTTCACAATCCTAATACACCTACTAACATTTGAGTGCTCGTATAGTTAAGAAGCCGTAACATACCTTGCTGTTCTTAGGAATCTACAACTCAAATTCTGCCAGAGAATCAAACCACTATTGGAAACAATAATCTTGGGCATCACAGACCTAAGAGAGACCTACTTGCTCACAGAAAACTTTTATGTGGGAGGTTATGGTTAGGTTGAACTGCCCTAAAGAATAAAAGGCCACAATCTTACCTCACTTACCTGGAAGTAGCCCAAATGAAGTAAATAGTACTTTTAAGAAGAATTTGTTAGGATTGCACTGTTAATCATTAACTTTCACAGCTCTCAGATCTTAATCCCTTAGGCACAGATCTTACATCTAACTTTTCCATTTATATCGAAATTATCCTAGATGATCAGAAATCCTACTTAAAAGATTCTGTAAGAGGCCATGATAGAACCAAAGGTCCCTTTTCTTTAGGTTCGTATGAGTTATGTATTAGTTTAATTCAAGCCTTAGCCACTTCCATGATGGGCTACAAGCATTTTCACTATGCAACAAGGCAAGGAAGGCTTTGCAGAATTTGGGATTTAATTCTTCTGCCCCCACACCCATGATATGCCAGTTGATATGCCACAAACTAGTAACATTGTGTGAAACTGTCTAGCAAAGCTGATTTTTAACATCCTAAGCAGTATTTGCAGATAGTGCTCAAATATTCATTTTTCCACTACACAGCAAGCTTCAAGTTATAGCGGAATACAAACTGCTGGCACAGCTCTAAATGTGTATCTTGATTTAAGAGAATATAAACTATGCCTGTATTTAGTTTATTCATAGTTTAAAATCTGAAATTGTCACAGGATCATAGTAGTTCCTTGCCCTGATCCAACTCTAATCAGATTCTTAAAAAAGAAAAAAGACACATAGGCAAGACTACTTGCACCCAAAACACAGGTACAAATAAGCATCCCAGTGAAAGCAATGCAGATAGTATCCTCTTTCAATGTGTATTCCAATGCATGTCCTATTTGTACAAGTACTGTACTTCCCTATCCAGGAAGTGATATGAATACAACCACCTACTTGCCCATAGTTTGTTTCAGGCATATAAGTTCAGACTCTTACTTTCCAAAGTCTGTGTATTTGTAGAGCACATAATCAACAATAAACTGTCACTAGAAACACTATGGTGTCCTTTTTTTCCTGGTATACATTGGGGACTTTAATGCCCGCCACAATATAGAAAAGGCAGAAAAAATAATTCTATAAAATTATAGTTCATATTAGTTGATAAATCATTAACCTTCACTACATTAGCTATATGAGACCCCAGAACTTCTGCCATGCAGATGCCCCAACAGATGACATAGAAAAAGGTCGTTGAAGGTAAAGTTTTTGTTAAATTACTTCTCTAAAATGTCACCTAAATTAGTGCGATGTACTGGAATGCCCAGTCACCATGGGCAAGGGCCTAGATCACAGAATCTGCTCTCAGGAACAGACAACCCATTTGTGAGCAGAATTAGTGGTAGAACAAGGATTTGTACATGTGTTAAATCATTCTAATATCCATACTTGTAGACACTACCACTGGAATAAGAACAGACTGTTCTTCTCATTGAAAACCACACAACCATCATGTTACAAATAGGCTTTCTTCACAACACAAGTAATCATCTGCTACTTGACAGACAGACAGAGTTTCTATGGGACCAATACTATGAAAGACAATTGGGCGATCAGTTTTCCAGATTCAATACCATTTGGTAGTACATGAAATATATCTGCGCTATGGCAGATGCCTGGCTTGATGTCATCAAGATTTAAAGCCTTATCTCACCATCCCAAATCCCTTAGAGAGCATGCTTCATATGACAAAAGCTTATATTAACACTCTCCAATTTACAGAAAGTGTCCATTAGGCCATTTTAATGTGATTCATACATACATTTTAATTCTTACTGCACATTTAACCCTGAATTGCCATAGTGGTGAGATGGCATTTGTTTGATTATTTTAATAATCTCATTTGAAGGCTGATAATGGGAAGAAAGATGGAACCATTCACTTTATTTAAAAGGAGTTGAAATTTGGGTTGTCTTTCTCTTTCTCTTCCCCTACCCTCCAATCCTGTCAGTTGGCTATAGGCCTTCTCTCAACTGAGCGAACAGCCAAGACAAAAAACAAAACAGAGATGATCAAGGCAACAGTCATGTTGTGGGTATAAGCCTCAGCCTAAAAAAGAAAGGTTCAAATGTTAGATCATACAATACAAATAAGTGGTGTGGTATCCTACATCATCAAAACAATGTCATGGTGATTGGGGCAAGAAAGGTCATTCCCACAAGCATGCATACATACTGTCAAGCACTCTTTTCAAACCTATCAGTGTAAGCCTACTTAGCTACCTGACAATACCCATAGAAAGGCTCAAAATTCAACAAACAGAAAAGGCCTTCTGGTCCAGAAAGACCCAAAATAGGGCTGCCCCAAAGTTGAAGACCACACCTAGCAGCTTCCCCATTTTATGGCTGTGTCCTATTTTGCAGGCCTACATTTCCTTACACAGCAAGAAGAAAAATGGGGTTCTGTTCCTGCCTCTTATCTCCCCACTGCCACTTGTATATCCAAACTTCATTTTGTTTCTGAACTACCAACTCCTGTAGAAAGTTTATAGGTTATAACAAACAGGTACAAAAAGGCCTCCAGGAACAGCTTCAGAGGAGAAGTCGAGAGGGTGCAGTAACTTAATTATTCTGTAGCCTACAAACCACATTCCCACAGTTTATAAGCCTAACACAACAGGGTTTTTCCAACTTAAAGGGGGAAAAAACATTCCATTCCTCACAGAGATCACCCTTCCACCACCTTATCAGTAAAGAAATTATAATCGAATTATACTTAACAGGAAGGAGGGGGGGAGAGAAGAAGAGTTGGAAACAAGACAAGTGGAAGTTTCAGTTTGAAACCCCGCACTGACCCAAGCTCACCCCACACACCCTGACCCCACACCCAAGCCCTGAAGTCATTTCAAACATGAAGCGGCACACAGGCAACGGTGGCCTGAAGCAGTTACTTGAACCGTCCCAACTTTCAGGGAGTCATCTCCAGTGACAGGCAGAGGCCCAACTCAGCTCAGCCACAGGAAGGAAAACACCGCATTCAGGGGCGGGGAGGGTGACCCCACGGTCATTCCAGTCGAGGGGCAAGATGGGGGGGAGGGGAGGGGGTACTTTTTAAATATAACCTAGCACCCCAACTTTAATGCCCCCCCCAGGAAAAGGACAGTGCTTGAATTTTGAGAAACTCTGCCGGGGAAATGAAACACAGTTCCTTCAGTGGGTGGCCAGTTCTGAAAGTGCCCGACCCCCCCACCGCACCCCCAAAGAGCCCACACGACCCCCTCCCCCAGCCTACCTGCTGCAGGGGCATTTCCAAGCCTAGCGGCGCCCCCCGGCAGCTCCCAGAGTTGAGAAGCAGGAAGGGCCGCGTGTGCGAGAGAGGGAGGAAGGCAGAGACCCGGGCACACGCGCGCTGTTGTGTGTCCGGGTGTGCGTTGCGCTGCGCGGTTGCCCAGGCCAGAGGCAGAAGGAGCGTGTGTGTGTGTGCGCGCGTTTGTGTGTCCCCCTCCCCCCGCTCGGCTCCGCGCCCCCCTCCTTCCCTCTCCCTCCTTCGCCCGGCTCCCAGTCACAGACGCGGCCTCGGCGCACGTGTGCGAAACGTCACCGCCGCCGAGTCCGGGGGTGAAGCGAAAAGGAGACCAGCGGGACAGAGAGCCTCCCCCTTCCCCCACGGCCATGCTGCCGAGGCAGACCCTGAACCCCACCCGCCGCCCCCAGGAAAGGGGGGGCAGCAGGATCGCGCGCCCCCTCCCCACGGCCAGTGCAGGCGCACACAAGAGCCCAGGTCCCGTGCCCCGCGCACCCCGCTCCGATGTCACTGGTGTCCCAGCCCGGCAAGCACGCTGCTTGCAGCACCGGCCTCTGCTACGCTCTCTTTGTTCCAGCCACCAGAAGTTGAGGGGGGAGACGGGCGCAAGAGACGCCTCCCCCCCCCGACCCTCTTCCTTAAGGGAACTGCACCCGCGGCCCCCCCTGCGTGTTTTTTGCACCGGGTGGGGAAGACTCTGATCGCTTCCCTCCCCCCACAATCCCGGCCCACAAGAACCCACCCTGCACCAAGAGGGGCCAGGAAATAATAATAATCATAATACAGTAATAAAGTTTCTAGCAAAACAGAGCGATCCAAGGCAAGCGGGGTTCCTCTGTCACCCCACCCCCCACACCCCGGTGTGGGAGGAGGGCTGAGCCCAGCCAGACATGCACAAGATTGGGGAGGGAGGGAGGCATTTACCGAGGGTCGGCCTGCACTTTCCAGGGCGGTCTGCAGCAACACCGTCCGTCCGGCGGGCCCGTGCGGGGTGCAGCACAAGGCGCTGCCGCTGCTCACGAGACTGGGCCGGGCGCCCTCCGCCCCGCCGCCCGCCGCCCCGGGAAAGCAGGAGGAGACCCAAGGCGCCCCCAGCGCGGATGCCCCGGAACTGCTGCGGATCTGGAGGAAAGCAGCGGCGGGAGCGAAGCGGGCAGGGAAGCTGACGGCGACGGCGGAGGCCGCCGCCGCGGAATCCATGGGAGCCGAGGGCGGCCGAGCAGCGAGGGCGTGCGGCTGCAGTGCTCTCCTCCGCATCCTTCCCCTTGTGGGTCTGCCTGCGCCCCGAGCGGAGTCTCCTCCCACCCTTGGCGCTGCTCCGCCGCCGCCGCCGCCCCCCGCCCGGCCTGCCCGGCTATTCGCCGCTCGATGCCCGCGCCGGACTCGAAATGGTCCGGGCCGGGGGTAGCGGGGGGTCTGCGGCTGCCGGAGGCGTCGTCGCGAGAGCGAGCGAGCCCGCGCGGCGGGCAGATGCCACGGATGGAGCCCGGCCGCTGCCGCGCGCTGGGGCTGCCTGGAAAATGGCTCCAGGAAGCAGCGGCGGCGGCTGCCGCTGACAATGAATGAAGGGAAGGGAGAAGGGTTACGCGCCAAGAGCCTCCCGCGAAACTCAGATTTCCCGCCCGCTTTTCAAATCGGATTTGCATAGCCGGGCCCCCTCGCCACGCCGAGCCTGCAGCGCCGTCTCATTGGTTTGCTCTTTCGGCCGGGCCTTCCAATCGCGAGGGATTCGGGACTTTGCCGGCTCCTCATTGGGCTGCCAAGGCGCGGGGTTGCCCTGTTTTGCATAGTGCTTGTCCATTGGCTGCGGCTTCGGGGGATTCCCTTCTGAGCGGCTGGGATTCCGTACGCCGGGCTGACTGCTTTCCCTCCTCCTCCTCCTGCTTCTCCTGGCGCTGAGCTGCGCGCGTTCCCGAGCTTGGAAAAGGCAGGGAAAGCCCGCAGGTGCCTGGCTGAAGGCCAGCGAAATTGGTCTCACAAGTGAGTGAATGGGAGAACTCAGAACTCGTCAGAAATTACATTTTATAGCGCGGTCTTAGACTTTTTTTGGCAGAAGTAAGCACTGATTTCAGTGAGACATACAGGGCTTCGAATAAGTTTGATCGGCGGTAGTAGCCAAGTATCTGAGACTGAGTCCCACTGAACTCAGGGATCTCAATCAGACATTATATGTATATGACAGTCTTGTAAATGTCTTGTCTAGACTTGCCAGGTGTTATGAAAATGAATGTAGCCTAGTAACTTTTGTTTCCATTGCTGCATTGCTAGGGGGTTGGATGACCCTTGGTGTGTGCCTTCCAACTCTACAATTCTATGATCCTTTGAAACAGATATGCAATTATTTACCCTAGACAAGAAGTGTTCCAAATGACAGCTGTTGTTGTTTTAATTATAAACAAATATTGTTCGAACATACCCTTTTACATTCCAGAATCTACTTTCCCATATGATGTGCACCTCTTCTTTTCTGTCCATTGTAATATAAGTTATTTTCATTTTATCCTGAATGTTCTTCCATAGGCATTTTGTACAGAGAAAAAGTGTTGTGACCATATTCCTTTGCATTGAATTTGGAAGTCTGGAGAATACTGCATTGAACAGGTCACGCTGAATAGTAATTAGAACTATTGCTAATTTATTAATCCCTTTTGATTTTGCTTGCTTAACTTCTCCATCTCCTGCTAAGGCTTTTCAGATTCCTCAAACCAATCATAGGCCTGGGATTCAGCCTGAAGCCTAGAAACCCTAGAGCACTATCCTAACTCGCATGTCTAAAACTGAACTACATATCTTTCCTAAGCAACTGTCCTCTCCTTTATTAGACTCTCTATGAAATGAGAGACAAAATGAGAGAGAAATGAGGGATGCGGGTGGCGCTGTGGGTTAAATCACAGAGCCTAGGACTTGCCGATCAGAAGGTCGGCGGTTTGAATCCCCACGATGGGGTGAGCTACCATTGCTCGGTCCCTGCTCCTGCCAACCTAACAGTTCGAAAGCACCTCAAAGTGCAAGTAGATAAATAGGTACCGCTCCGGCGGGAAGGTAAACGGCGTTTCCATGCGCTGCTCTGGTTCACCAGAAGCGGCTTAGTCATGCTGGCCACATGACCCGGAAGCTGTATGCTGGCTCCCTCGGCCAATAAAGCGAGATGAGCGCCGCAACCCCAGAGTCGGCCACGACTGGACCTAATGGTCAGGGGTCCCTTTACCTTTATTTTATGAAATGACAGCATTGCCACCCCTCCTTTTGACCAGCCATGAAACTCTGGCTTTGATTTTTCTCTCTCTCCCGCCTCTCTGCCTCTGCTTCTCCCACCCAACCTGCCCCCAGATCACAGCTTCTCCCTCTCTGCCCCTTGGATAAAAGTCTTCATTATTTCAATCTCTCTCTCTCAGCCTTCAGATCTTTTCAAAACATTTGATCAAAGCCATAGGTCAACATCCAGGGTTGCACAGTGGAAAAGAGGAATGCCATGACTCAGGGATGACAGACCATCTGCTATGTGTTCAGGTCCCAGATTTAATCCCTGGCATCTCTGGGTAGGGCTTGGGGAGTCTTTGGTCTAAAATCCTGGAAAGCTGCAACGAATGAAGGTGGACATTAGTGAGCTAGGTGGACCAATGGTCTGACTCAGCATAAAGAAGCGCCCTTTCTTCCTAAATCCCTGACATGCCCAGAAAAGTCTGCTCTGGAGGGTTCCTCAACCCCCTAGAGCAGATTTAGGGGGCACATGGGAGGCTGAAGGAGGTAGGAAAAGGAGGAGACGCCCTGTTGTACAAATAGATGCCTGCTGACCATATACTGCTCTACCACTCACACTTAGTTCAAATAAGTGTAATTTTGTTTGTCACATTGATTCTATGCTACCGTTTACTCAGCTTCCAGTCTTCCCTTCTTTTGGGAATTTGTTGCCTTTTATTCCCTCTGTTATTACTTCCATGATTCTCATTTACACTGTAAGTTCCTTGTGACCTGCCTTGTTTACTTATGTTTCTTTGTAGATGTACATTGAGGTATTTTATAAATAATAATCTTAAGAAAATCTTAGAGAATTTCACAGAACTCTTCTTCAGGCATTGTGTGTGATGTATATCCATAGCACATTTGTAGCCTAAACAATGTCTTTTAAAGCAGCAAAGAATGTATTTTAAGAGCACCGGTCAACAGCATTTCCTCAAGATATTATCTATCAAGCCAGAATGATTAATGGTGATTATACTGAAGTGTTGGGGAGACTGGGGTTTGTTTTTATTGTTCCATAAGGCCTTATTGTAATCTTAATTTCCTTTTGTAATTTTTGATATCTACACTGTATCTTTTTTTTAATACTGTAAATCACCTTAAGATTTACAGTAAAAAAATATATATGAACATATGAAATAAATAATAGAGCTCATTTTGAATTCTCCTTTTTGCTAGTTTCTGCAGAAAGAAACTGTATAGGATGTCACTAAAGCAAATTTGCAGCTTCCTATCTAACAAATGGAATGTAGGTTAACTGGAATGTATGTACAAATTAAACTGGGATTAAGAAAAAAAACCCTCAATCCTACTTTTGGCAAAGGCACTAGTCCATCTGTTACTATAAAAGTGGGTTATTCCCTTTCAATTTTTATTCTTTTCTCCTTGAAAGTGGAAGGGCTATTGACTTCCTGTTAAGCACTGGCTTCCTATTTCTGGTAAGACTTTTATCAGCTAACTATTTCTTTAGCTTTCGCAAATGGATTTCCCTTGTGCAACTTTGGGCGTATTTCCTGAAATTGAAAAGTTTGCCACATTTATTTAATTGAAATATTGGTCATTTACTTTTTGACTTAACTTCTCCAATATAGCTTATAAGAAACTGAAAACAATACATACCGAAAGCAAAGTGGGTTGATTTAAATCAAGACAACTGAAATCAGCGAGGGAACAAAGGCCTATTTAAATTATTGAGCTAAATCAAATTTCCCATTGATGCCTCTTTGTAGTTCATAAACAGTTGTTCAAATCTAATTAGGAAA